ACTCACTGCGCTGGCTTAAACAGTGGCACTGAGATTCATGGCGCTTTTTTTGCCCTGGAGTCTACTGTCCTGGTTCCCTGCCCAGTCCGCTTTTTAAACAGACGAATGGGCGACTTCCCGTGGCTCCATTTGCCAGCCAAAATGGCACCCGGACTGGTGTATTTTGTATGGATAACCACTGCTCCGGGGCACCGACAAAGCAGCCGCACTGGCCGAAACAGCCGTGCTGGCGACCCATGGATCTTCTCCTCCTGGGAATTGCCTAGTCTTTGGGTAATAAAAATGCGGTGTCCACTCAGCCTCTGCGCTTTCACTGGAAGCTGCAATCCTGAGCTGTTCCTAAATGGCCATCTTGGATGGATCCCCCTGATCTCATGTTCATTTACAGTGTATGAGTTCGCTTTTCTCCAAAACCATACCCACGTTCCTTTTTCTTTTTTTTTCCTTTGGAGACAATCTCGCCCTGCCCAGGCTGGAGTGCAGTGGTGTCATCTTGCGTCACTGCAACCTGCGCTCCCGGGTTCAAGCAATTTTCCCGTCTCAACCTCCTGAGTAGCTGGGACTACAGGGGCCCGCCACCACGCCAGGCTAATTTTTGTATCTGTGGTAAAGACGGGGTTTCTCCATATTGATCAGGCTGATCCCAAACTCTTGATCTCAGGTTATCTGCTGCCTCGGACTCCCAAAGTTCTAGGATTACTGGCGTGAGCCACTGAGACTAGCCTCTCCTATTTTTAAAAAACTTTCTAGGAATATTCAGTAAGTGTGAGATTATCTGTGTGTGGTTTTCAGTTAAACCACTCACAGTTAACTTTGTTAGATAGTTAATTTTGAGGACCTTTTATCTGTTGTTCGATTTTATGTTACAGAATTGTCTGTTCATGTACTTTGCGAAATATTAGATTCTTTTGCTACTTTGTAGTGTTTTTTGTGTACACCTTAGATGACAACTCATGAATTACATGATTACCTGAAATTTTTGCCTAATCTATAGGATTCCTTTTTTATTTGGAAAGTAGTTTTTTTGCTGTGCAGAAACTTTTCAGGTTGATGTAGTCCATGTTTATTTTTGCGTTTTATGCATGTAATTTTAGTCACCCATGTAAGAAAATACTTATCAGTGACAAAACATTTAATTGTCAATGAGGTTTTTCTTCCAGGGTGTTTGTTTCTTTTTCTCTTTGCAAAGGTGAGCAGAGATTCAAGTGACCCGGGATATATGCTCAACCTGTGTTTTAGTTAAAAACATTTTGTGGTTTATGGTCTTTTGTTCAGGTCTTCGGGGTTTTTTTTGTTTGTTTTCTGGGGGAGGGGGTTGATTTTCATATATCATGTAAAATAAGTGTCCTGTTTCTCTCTTCTCTCTTCTGCTTCCAGATATTATTTTTCTCAAAGGTATTCATTCAGCAGACTCTGCTTTCCACATTGCCGTGGTCTTTAGCAAAGTGAGCTGACTGTGTCCATATTTACGTTGATCTTGTTTTGCCCTCCCCGTTTTTGTCCACAGTTCTAGGTATTGTTTTTATACAAGGACCATATATCTGCTGCATAACTGCAGCTTGGCAGTGTGATTTAATATCAAGGATTGTGGGTCCTCACTTTGATTGTATTTCTCAGGATTCTTTTAGATATGAATTGCTCTTATGGTTCCCTGTGATTTTTAGCAATATGTATTTATTTCTGTTAACTTTTTTTCACAGCATAAAGGTGCATAATTAGGGGTACATTTTTACACATGTAGATTGGGTAATGATCAAATCAGGGTACTTAGGATCTCTATTTCCTCATAAGGTATTATTTTTGTGTGAAGAGAACACTCAAAATTCTCCTTTCTTGTTCTTTTGAAAAATATAATATTGTTAACTCCAGTCACCAGGCTGAGGAGGAGAACACTCAGTTTTATTCCTTTAAGGTTAACATAACTTTGCTTCCATAACCAATCCCTATTCCCTCTCTATCTCTCAGACCCTGGTAACCAATATTGTGCTTTCTACCTCTTTAAGATAGACATCTTAAGAGTCAGTGTTTGTCTTTCTTGGCCCAGCTCATTACATTTAACATAATGTTTTCCAGGTTCATCTGGGTTGCTCCACATGACACTGTTTCATCATTTTGGTGGCCAAAGAATATTCTCTAGTGTATGCATATGAGAGTATGATCCCTTTATCTGTGGATGGACAGGTAGGTTGAATGTATACCCAGTAGTGGGAATCCTAGATTGTATGGTAGTTTTCTTTTCTATTCTTTGCAGGACCCCCAACTTTTTTTTACAGCATTAATACTAATTTACGTTTCTACAAACAGTTCCCCTTTGTGGAAATTCATACTATAAGTTGTCTTTTTAAATATTTTAATCTGTTTGTAATGTTCATTCTGGTTGGAGTGAGATAAGATCTGAGTGTGGCTTTGATCTTCATTTTTCTCATGTGTAGTAATGGTAACCACATTTTTGCAAATGTTACAACAGTTTCTTGTCTACACAAATATCTCTTCAGGTTATTTGGTTTGGTTATTTTTCTGCTTTTTTTTTTTTTTTTTTTTTTTTTTTTTTTTTTTTTTTTTTTTTTTTTTTTTTTTTTTTTTTTGGCCAGCTGGTAGTGTTACTAGCTTGTACCTTTTCAAAAATAACCCCTTATCCAACTGAATGTTTGCCCAAACTTTACTTACAATTTTTAATATGTTTTTTCATTTTGTTCATTGTTTATTAGGCACAAACTCTTCAGTTTGACGTGGCCCCACATGTATAATTTCTTGGTTAGCTGTGCTATTGGTTACCAATCAAGAAAAAACAAAATCACTACCAAAGCAGTCCATTGTCCATGATTTTCTTTTCCTTGTATTTTTGTTAGTTTTTGCAAATCGTGAGCATACATCAAAGTTGCAATAAATATACACACACCTGAGATTATCTTTATAGGAGCTTTATGGTTGCAAGTTTTCTGTATAATCTTTAATCCTTTTCAGTTGATTATTGTGTATTTCATACCATAGGAGTCCTGTATTATTCTTTTGCATATGGATACCTAGTTTTGAAAACCGTTCCCATTGTGTCAGTTTAGTAGTGTTTCGAAAAATGTGTTCACTCTGTATAAATTTGTGTTTATTATTGAATGCCCTCATTTTGCTCACTGGTCTGTACTTCTCTGTGTTTACTAGTAACATATGGGTTGGTTAACTAGGGATTTTCATTTAAGTAGAACTCACAGAATGTGATACATGCCACATGGTTTGTATTTCTCAGGATAACTTTGGAAATTCAAGGTGTTTCACATTTCCATGAGAATTTTGGCATTGTTTTCTTTATATATCTTAAAACATCATTTGCCATATATAAATGTATATAATTAGAGGGTACAGGGAAGATTTTGATACATGTGTATGTTGAGTAATGATCAAATTGTGTTATTTAGCATCTCTTCACCTCGTATAGTTATGATTTTTTTGTGTGATAACAACATTCAGAATATTTTCTTCTAGCAACTTTGAGACATATGATACATTTGTGTTAAGGCCAGTCACCCTGCTATGGAATAGAAGACCAGAATTGATTGTTCTCATCTGAGGGTAACTTTTTACCCATTACTGATTCCTTCCCAGACCCTCTCCACCTTCCCAGTGACCTCTAGTAATCCCTATTGAACTTTCTGCTTCTAGGAGTTGAAGATGTTTCCAGTCTGCATGCCTGAGATCGTGTGGAATGGGACTTTGTCTACCAGGCTCATTCGTTGGACCTGATGTTCTCCAGGTTTCTTCATGTGGCTGCAGATGGCAGGATTTCCCAGAGCTTTATGGCTGGAACATAATCCATGGTGTATCTGTACAGCAGTTTCTTCAACCCTGCAGCTGTGTGTGGACAGGTAGCTTGGTTCTGTACCTTGGCCACAGTTACAAGTGCCTCAGTACCCGTGGAAGGCAGATAGCTCTCTTCAGCCCAGGGATTTCAACTGCTTTAAATGTGGAACCAGTGGTGGGGCCGCCAGCTGACATGGTAGTTGTACTGTGAAGTTTTTCAGGAACCTCTTGCTGTTTCTCATAGTGTGTATACTAGTTTACATCTCCACCAATAGTGTTGAAGAGGTTACCTTTCTGTAAGTCTACACTGGCTGGCACTTTCAAAAATTTGTGTTTTGTTTTTGGTAGCATTCATAGTGAATGGAAGGAGACGGAACGTTAGCGTGGTTTTCATGGACATTTTTGTGAGTATTAGTGATGTGGAGAAAGTCATTTGAGAAATCCCCACGTTGTTTTCCATGGTGTCTGAACTGGTTTGCATTTCCATCAGCAGCAGAGCAGCGTCCTTCTTCTCTGCCTCCTTCTTGTGGACTGTGTGTGTCCTAATCGTCATTCTGGCCAGTGTGCAATACTACCTTGTGGACCTTTTGCTTTGCCTTTTTCTGATGATGACTGAGGTAGAGGAATGTTGTCATGTCTGTTGGTTGCTGTAAGCCTTCTTTTGAGGTGCATGTTTTCATGCCCCTTGCCCTTTCTTCATTGAGTTTTCGTTTTCCTGATTTATTTGCTTAACATCTTTAAGGTAGATCCTGGATATTAGCCTTCATCAGATGCATGTGTGGGAACATTTTCTCCTGTTGTGCAGGCCGTCTGTTCACTCTGTTGGTCATTTCTTCTGTGCAGCAGCTCTTTTGTGTATTAGGTGCCACTAGGCAATAGTTGTTTTAGTTGCACTTGCTTTTGGAGACTGAAACACCTCCATGCTGTGCCAAATCCTCTGTCAGGAAGGGTGTTTCTAGGTTCTCGCAGGCATTTCAGATGTGAGGTCTTGCATTTACATCTTTCATATTTACATCTTTCATTCATCTTGAGTTTATGTCTGTACACCGTGAGGCACGGGGCCCACTGTTTTTCTTCTGCAG